TCATTGGATTTTCTAACGATTGCTACATTTTAGAATAACATAAGATAAAATCAATATTTAAAAATCAAACTGAGGAAGGTCCTCCTAAATGATTTGTTGAAAACCCCTTGTCATGATATCAGCACTGTTCAACTCAGGTAATTCATAAGAGAACTAACAACTCTCATTTTTTAAGACTTTCTCCGCCAGTTTTCCACTTATAGGCTGAACAGCTGTATGATTAGAACATGCTGTTTCTCCTGCTAGATTAATCTACAGTGACTCCTCTTGTACCTTCAGAGATCCTTCCAGACTGGCTTTATGACCGTATAACCTCAGCGTCATTCTGACTAATAATTCATCATTAAACTTTGGTGAAGTTGGACTGTAGTGGCAGGTGGGTGTTGACGTGGCTAAAGCTGCGGCTTGTTGGGGTACATCTACTTCCTGCTTGGCCTTTGACCCTCCTGCTCCCACCTCGCTCCCCAGGCTTGTCATGTGACATCGACGTGTGTCTGTAGCAGCGCTGCTCAGGTCTTTCCTTTTTCTGTGTGTGTGTCAGAGATGTGAGGCAACAGTTTTACTTGAAACTTTCATCCAAAAATCTGGTTTCCAACAGCTACATTTAACAATGTTAAAAATAATACCATATCACATCCATATTGAGCACAATTTTTTTTTCTCAGTATCCAATGAAGAAATACATAAATCAATTATATTATTATATTTAATAATCACAAATAAGATTTTATTTCCTCTAAAATTAGTCTTTCATTTTTTATGTAACCCCTTACTGAGAAATAAGAAATAATAAAATCTAGGGTGAGTTTAGTGTTGGATCTCTTCACTGTGTTTCTTTGCAGTGTCTCAGGTTGCCAGATCAGAGAGCACAGGTTTTGTGCTGCGTGCAAATCGTCAAAAATAATGTCCTATGTATTTTCCTATGCACTTTTTCTTGACCTCAATAAAAAAACGTAAGGTCAAGAAGAATTCAAAAGGACTTAGTTAAAACACTATGGCAGATGTTTTTTATTTCCCTTTACTCCTAACTTATCTGCCTTTCTTTCTTTCACTGTTATTCTGTTATCAATAAAACAACTCTTCCTGCACAGATATTTCACATTGAAAGCCTTCAACTGCAGGAATTGTTAAGTTTTATTTATATATATATATACGATACGATAATGCTTTATTGGTCAGATCAAGTCTGAAATTTGACTTGCATCACAGCAGCTCCATGTGTAACATCAACATAGACAAATGTCAAGACACAATACATGAAAAACAAACAGCAAACATCTAACTGATACAAACAGATTTAGTTTAAAAATATCTTTCAGCCGAGTGTTAAGTATGACATTCATCTGTTATTGTACTAATGGAATGAAATATTTTGGTTAATTTATTTTTTAGCCTACAACAAATTCCTCCCTTCTTCCGACATTTCTAACTGGCCTTTATTTTCGGTATATGGCTAATAATTTGAATATATTTGATCATTATTTGTATTTTCTTTTAGAGTTCACAGTTGGACAGCTAAGTAGAATATTGTGTAAACGGTGTCTTATTGTCATGTTTGTCTGTCTGACGGTATTTTTTCCTTCTGCAGGGAGTCTGCTCTCACAGTCGTACAAACAACACGATATTGGAGGGATGGACTGATCACTGTTAGTGAAGCAGCCACCAACAGACTCAAACAAAGAGACAAAGCCTGATGTCATAAAACAGACTGTGAGCGAGCAGTTTGACATGCAGACTGTTTTCTCTCCAAACCAGGGCTCACTTCACAGAAAAACTCCTGAGCCCGGATCTCTTGACAGGAGCCGTCAAAGAGAGCGTGAAGCAGTGGAGGCACTGTGAAATGTCCTCTGTCTATGTAGGGTTCATCATGTATAGATCACGTGCGTCCTGATAGTGTGTGTGTCATCTTTCTTGTTGTTTTTATACGTATTAAAACATTTTGATTTGTAAATAATTTGCTGCGGTGTGGTTCTCTGTGCAAGCCTTAACCCAGCTGTAGAGCCTGACAGATTTCAGAGAGCTGGACAAATATTTGCAAAACATATTCAAAGGGATCTTAAACCAAAAAAACACTAACACTTGTGTTACAGGTAAGATATGCATTTTTGATTTTGGGGTGAACTGTCCCTAGTAAATGTTTGCAATTTAGACAAGTGGAGCTTGTTTGTACTATTCTTTATGCTGTTAGGAAGTTCTGTGTTCAACAATGCATCATATGTTATAAGCTAAAGTCTTAACAATAGCTTTCAAAGCTGACATAAATGTAGATACTACAACTGCTGAACTTTAAAGTAAAGTGGAGTACATGTAAAAGTAGCATATAATAATGGAGTAAAGTACATGAACTTGAACTTTTACTTTGGAAGGTTAAAGTATTTGGGAAATACATCTAGCTTAGTCTACTTATTTTACGCCAATACTTACATGTGGTTTGAGAAATTAAGCTTTTTGTCAAAATATATATTTCTATACAATAACAGATATACACTAAATTGTCATTTTCGTAGTTGCTGGGTGAGAAATTCTGTGATTAAAATACCGTCATCATTACTCATGATCTACTGTACGTTTCCACTTCTGGATCCTCTTACGGCATTCCTGTCATATTTTCCAACAGTCAACACTGACCAATCACAGTGGAGTAGGCGGGGCTTCAGTGAACTACTAGGGGCCGTTTCTCAATCTCGAGGATGCGGGCTTGGTAGTCGCGTACTTCCAAGTCACTTCCTTCAGAAACGAAGCAAGTATGCTTCCAAAAAAACGAAGAAGAATGGAACAGGCTAACAAGTGTGCCACTCTCTCTAACGGTTTCAACATAAACTGTACCGAAAATAAATACCTCACGATGTATATCTAATTATGAACTTGCTTTACTTACTCGGAACACATTTTTGGTGATAACAAATTTAACAAAGTAACATATTTACCAACACATGTTCTACGCCACTACATACTTACATTTAAATGTGTGCTGCGTCGGTTCAGCCGTTCTCCGCAAGGGTTTTTGAAATTGGTACGTGCGCAAAGCATTATGGGGATTTTAAGGACGCGAAAGTCTACCCATGTGCAGCCTCGAAATGTCCCCCAAACCAAGGACGCGGCCTTGTTGTGAAAAGTAACTTACAATTCTACCCATGGTATTGGCTCAGTATATCACGGCTAAGAACCAATCAGATTGCTTGATTTAACTTGTCCGTTTTATAAAAAATGTTATAACATGGAACAGATTGTAAAACCAAACACTGTACAGTAGAATAAATACTGTATACAGTAATAATATGTAGATAGGCCTATGTGGAAATGTGTAATGAACATATTTGTGTATTATAAACACACATCAGATATCACATATTATGTATTTACCCACTGTTGATATGTATATATTTACTGTTTTTCTATTAATTATTATTCATTTGCAACGCCTTGTTACAATATGTAATGGTACTTTATCAGCTCGGGATGTGTTTTGATTATTATTATATAGTATTATTTTCATAATACAATATTTCCCCAACTTAATTAGGAAGACATGCAATATTTCTCAAAATATTTAAACTTTACTTTCCGAAATCTGAATTTTTCTTCTTTAACTTTCCACTCAATGGAGCTTTTATTTCGAAGTCTTAACAGGAAGTGTTATTTTGGTGGGTAACTGCCGGGGCCGGGCAGTATAAGTAAGTCTGTTGTACTTCAGAGTTATTGCTAGCAGACTGTAGTGCCAGTTGGACAACTTGTATGTGTCCGTGCAGTCGGGTGTAACCTTCTGGCCGTTAACGGGAGCTCTGGTTGTCGTGGTTGGTGTGATGGAATTGGACAAGATGGACGAGAACGAGTGGAGGTATCACGGCGAGGGGAACAAGAGCCTGGTGGTCTCACACGTACAGGTGAGCAGCTAGCACCAAGCTAACAGAAGTTCAGATAAAAGCAGCAGGAGTGTTTGCATTTAGCTTCAACAGCACACACTTTTCTAACGTTACATGTGCTTAATCTCAGTGTCGTTGGCGATGGAAACTTTAAGCAACTATCTAGAAAAATCTGTTTATAAGTGAAGGGTGAAAGGTCAGCTGCCAGTTTTTTCTTTTTTAGCCATCCTCATTACCATTAGCTTGTTTGCTAGCTTAGCCGGCTAGCTAGTCAAGAGTTCAAATGACTCCAACTAATAAAACAATATTAAACAGTGACAACAACGCTTAAAACAAACACTAAATATTATAAATGACATATAAAGTAATGTGCAGTTAGAGTGACTGACTGTCTAGTGTGGGAAGGGTCTTAAATGTTAGGATACTAACGAGCTACTTTAGCCGCTAGCAGCTTCCCAGTTTCTGTTGGGAGTCCGTTCTGTCTAACGGGACTTGCTGTTAGTCTGAGGCGGACCGCTGAGACTTTAAAGTTCACTTCCATGCGGGTGAATCCTGCGTGGACAGACAGACGCTGCTGTGACCCGGGCAGGGGGGACGACGACCCAGGGACAGGACAGTGGGAGAGCCTCATTCACGGGACTGGTCTGGTCATGTTGTTATTGAGCAACCGGTGACATGTTAATATAGGAGTGTGACATTACGGTAGCAGTGTTGTAATCCGCTCAGTTAACTTCTATATTGATTTATACTTTCACGAATGTAATCTTTCTCCACTGCTTGGCACTCCTTTACATGTACGGCTGCTTGTGTTCAGACAATAATTAACAATCAAATTCTTCAGTGAGTTTTTTTAATGTATTTGTATTACCAGCTAAATCAATATCTTATAACTAATAAATATATATATATATATATATATATATATATATATATTTATTAGTTATAAGACATATATATATATATATATTAATCATTTAATTTCAGCTATAACGGAACCAAATGACTCTAGGAGTATTTGATGATGTTGTAAACTTAGGCAACACCCACTCTGATTCTTCTGACCGCAGGTTGTGATTACTTGGAAATAAAGTTTTAGTCATACCTAAACGGTACAGTTCTACACCTTACTTTGAAACCTATTAACATATTGTCCCAAAACAATTTTTGTGTTAGTGATTTGTATTTATTTATTACTTTGTTGGTGCTAATACTGTACAATAAGCTGGTTTGAGGTTGAAAGTGTGAGAGGAAGCCAATTCAAAATGTGGGAGTTTGGCCATATGAGTATTTTATTTTTTCTTCTAAATTAAGTGTGTTTCTAAGGTCCCTAAACCACAACTCTGTGATGCGCTATTTCAATAGCACAAGGCAAAGCTGTTTCTTAGCAATGATGAGAGTATAGCACCAGAAACATTGCTGGGTATTGCTTGATTTTATAACATTATCAGATACTTATAGCATCATTTAGTTCTATTTCTAGCAGGATCTAAAGTCATTTAGATAATAATTTGAGATATTGACTCATTGAATATTTACAGATCTTTGCACTGAACAACCAAAGTCTTGTACAATAACAAAAAAATCAACCTGCATGCATATTGGTATTGCTCGCTTATTATAAACATTCCCATCTGAATTGATCTCATTGATAGTTATTACAAATGGTTACATAATAAAAACTGAAACCGTTTTAAGCGTTCTGCAATTTACAGTCGTCGGTTTAGTGCTGGCATGTTGTCTTTACTTTGAGCTCTAGCTATTTACATATTATTACTTTTACATATTAAAATTCCTCTTTCTTGTTAAATATGTTGCCTTGTTTGGTTTAACACATGTTTTTGATGCATTGGTTTGACTCTTAAGCAGGTTAGGGACACACTGCTTAGTGTTTAGACACAGTTGAGCTGTGGGGACACACCCTTCTTCCCACAAAAAGTGTCACCAATACACTCAAAATAATTGAGAATTTTAGAAATGTGGTTACCAACCTGAGGCATGTGAATAGTACTACGGTGTAAACAGGTTTCTCGCACTACCTGCTTTCTATGAGCAATTTTTTTTTTTTGGGTGCACACTCACTGCTGAAATATTAGAGCTGCACCGAGTAGTTCAAAGATTCATTCATAATGTTGGAATTTAAAATGTGAGTCACCATTTGAAAATTGTGCAGCTTTGTTTTTATGAATGTCTTTCTTCTTAAACCCAGTTTTTTTGCACAGTTACAGATCAAAATAAGACAACATTTGTAATACTGTTATTATATATCTGTACATTTCATTTCCAGAAGCTGCCTAACATTATTCCATACATCTTATACATAACACAATATTCTGCTTCAATCCATTATTGTTTTGTGTAATGAGTAACACGATTATGACGACATTTAATATGACATCAGCCTTTTACTGCTTTTTAAAAAAAGTTTCAATAGTCATTTTCTTCAATTAGGTACGGCCCTTTTTAAGATGATCTGTCATCATACTCCTAGGTTTATGGATTTTCTTCAATCAAAAACACCCATGTGCTGACAGACAGTCATTGTTGTGTACTGTTACCATAAATATACAGTGTGTTGTGTTTGTACAATAAGTACATAGAAAGAAACACTTGTGCTGGACTTACTGTTTGTGCTGCACTGTGGGAACGCTGTATCAGTGTTTTAACCCACCTCAGGAATCTCTGGGAGATGTTCCTGGATTTTCCTCAGATCTTAACCAAGCTCCTCTTCTGTTCTTGCAGCTTTCCATAGTCCTCCGCCTGCTCAAGTATCCAGCCGAGGACTCAGAAAACCCACCACAGGTAAATAAAAGTCAGAATGTGTCTCAGGTCTTTTCAGAACATAAAGCATCGTCCATATTACTGCACGGAAAAAATCATCTTGATGTATATCCAAAGAAAGTTGTGGGTATCGCTAAGTTTAATGTGTGCTTGTTGATTCCAATTCATGTATTGCATCGTGAACTTCTGGTATTTTTTACAATAAACACCCAATTTGTGTAGTGTACTGTACTGATACTGTCAGATCGAGTCTGACTTTTTATTGCATCACAGCAGCTCCATTTGCAACAAGCACAAGTATAAGTTCGCCGGACCTTGTATCTCTGATTTGATGGGAACAATTCATATTGGCTGTTAAGGACATGGTTGGCGTCAGAGATGCTGTTGCTGGCCAGCCTCACTATGTCGTTATCTTAGGCTGATTCATAGAGTCTCTAAAGGTTGTCCAATCGTTGTGAGCTTCCATTTCCCGTCAAATTATACAAATGTGTCCAAGATTGATCATATCGTACAGCAACTGCTCTGTTAAGTTGATGAAAACGGGGCTGGTGGTGTTTCTGTAATCCTGCTGAAAACATAGGGCTGGGCAATATTGACAAATGTTATGTCCCAAAATGTTTTAATCAAATAAAGAACTGGGTTAAAAATGTTCCATGGCTGCACAGGGCGATCCCACACTGCACCTGAAAGCACACAACAAACTGGTTTTATGGTAAATATGGCAGCTGTCAGCTGGACTCTGTGGTGTGAGAGCTCATGTTTTCCGGAGAAAAGAGGAGACATGTCAGTAATGTAATAATGGCTGATGGATACAAGTCTTAGAGGAGAAACATGTGTTCTGAGGCCTGGGTAAATACCTGTCAGCACGAAACTGAAGTTTAGTGTAGCGATTTAGCCTTTCAGTACATTTTAGAGCCAGTTGTATTTACTGTCGGCAGAGGATCTTGTATCCTGGTCAGGTTAAAGGCATTAAGGCACAGTCCCTGATCCAAATGTAAACTACTGTGGAGCCTGCCCAACCCTGACATTAAAAAGAGCTGAGCTGCTTTAATATAAAATGTATACTTGAGTGCTCTTTGGATATTTTGTACTTTTGTTTACGTTGTATGCTACTTTGAAAGTTGTAGGGTTATAGAGGCAAATATCCAACTTTTTAATCCAATTCATTTATAAAAACACTTGATAATCTTATTTTATATGATGCAGTACTTGACTTCAAATCAACCCAGTGTTTCACGAAGTGCCCAACATAGTCAAAACAACACAATTGAAATGCTCTTGCATATATTTGTTAGTGATGAAACAGGATAATATATAAAGTTCTGCTCTACATAGTACTTCTGCACCTTTTTACTTTATAAACATTTAGTTTCAGGACTTTTACTGGAGTATTTTAAGACCATAGTATTGCTACTTTAACTTAAGTAAAGGATCCAAGTACTTTTTAATCCTCTGCATCTGATAATACCGTTTAAATAAGTACAACATCTTGTATCAAGCCTGTGATCAGGATCCAGTCTAGAAAGGAAATTAGTTCTTCATGGGACCATGCTACACCCTTCCACCAGTTTCCCCCCAATCCTGCTAAAAAAACAACGCAAACAAACATGGCCTATTTCATTGAGGCGATGAGCTGAACAATTTGAATAAATGAAAGAATTGCAGCATTGTCCCAGAGCTCAGACGACTTCCACAATGTAAGAGAGAACAGAGTCCAATAGTGATCAGCTCTGTGCGGCTGGTCATCCACAATCACATGTTTGTGAAAACGGATGATAAGTGAGGTGACTTCCTGATCCTCACAGTGCCCCAGAGATGGGAAAGAACTGCCCTGACAACAATTCTCAGAACAGGTTCCAACTTGTAATTTGACCGCCGGTGTGTTTTCCTGCAGACGGTGGAGCAGGCCTTCAGGCAGGTTCAGAACATTGTTGACTTCAGCTCCAACGTGATGAGCTGCCTGCTGGGAGAGAAGTTCGTCCACAGCGGGGTATGACACTGTTCAGAATCCAATACTAACCTACTGAAGAATGACATCTTTCAGCAAATGTCCAAACTTTTGCTGAGACTGACCCCATATAAATGTGCAATATTGGAGATTTTAAATCTGAACATCTCACTGTTTGAAAAGACGCAATGCATTGTGGGGCAGTTGAACATGTCCAGTAAAATAGATTAGATTAGATTTATTGATGCAAAATTGTGAAATGGTTTTATTACAGCAGCATTATAACAAGGCATTCTGAACATTATTATTCCCTTTTGGAATAAATGCTCCCATGAGAGCTGGGCGATAAACCAGACCGACTTCTAGCAGCAGACATTTTACAACAATAAGTTACAGTGTGGATGTCCGGAGGCTTTAAGCACATGAACAACATTCCCTGGGTCAGCTGGTGCTGCTTGACTTTAGATTTAATTAAAGGATGAATGTTCAACAGCTCCATTTATTTGTCTGTTAAAATTGCACTGTCAACACGATTTCTATTAATTTGTGTGAAATATTGTACTGAGCCACTGCCAACTAATCACTGGTTTTTATGCAGAAGAAAACGGAACCGAGATCATAAACTTTAACATTATAATAACTTTTAGTAATAAAAGGGATTGTGCTAATTTCTTTACAGGAAGTGGTCAAACTGCCACTGGAGTTTGTTCGACAGCTGTCAATCAAAGTTCAACATCAAAGACCAGGTACAAATATTTGTATTAATATTTCTATGGCAACTGGTTTTGAAATATGTTAGAGGAATATACCACTCTCATATCTACACAGTGCATCTCTGGTGAATACAAAGACATTCAGGTTTACTTACACAACATGCCTCTCTTTGTGTGTCAGCGTGGCGCTGTGATAAGGTGATGGACATCTACAGCGGCTGCGCCCTCTGTCTGCCCAACCTGACCTCTCCAACCCTCCACCAGCCAACACACACTCCTACACTCTGCATCGAGATTAAGGTACACACACACACACACACACACACACACACACACACACACACACCACACACACCTATTTCTGGTTTGAAGGCATGCCATTTTTTTTTCTCCCTTTCTTTAATATTGGCACTGCAGTGTTTCATAAAAGAAGAAAACAAAATTCAAACAAATCATGAAAAAAGAAGTATACACAAAAACAAAGTTTAATTAAATGTTAAATAATATTGTTTTTTTAGCCTGGTTTCAGTTGTATCACTCAATCAAGCTGATGCTCTTGTTAAACATAATGTTCCCCCTGCTTTTAAAAGCAACCACATCTTTAGATATTTACCCTATAAATAATTCTCACTCAGAAAATATCCCATGAGTGTGACTAGTGTGTATGTGCTACTCAGCTGCTGTTTTTGTGTTTGTTTTTAGCCTAAATGTGGTTTCCTGCCGTACTCCAAACATGTCAGCCAAGATATCAAGACCAAAGTGTGCCGCTTCTGCATGCACCAACACTACAAGGTAACTACAGCTGTGTTCCAGTACAACGACACACACTTCAGCGCAGCACCTCCTCTTTTGTAATGGTTGCTGAACGTCACTTTCAGACATCGCTGGAGGCATTTCATTTCAGCTGCTAACATAAAATCTGTCAGTTAGTTAGCGGCAGACTGAAGTACACTTGTCTGTGTTCTTCCTGCGGCAGGGGTAATTGATCAAAGATTGTTAAGGAGGAAAGACCCTTCACCTCAGTGTTTTAATCCTACCATTACCATTGGTCCTTACTGAAAGGAATAACATATATTATTTAACCAATTTTGGTCTTTACTGCGTTTGATGTCATTAACCGTCACACGGTTTTCTCTCTGCGTTTCTCTTAGGTGTAGAGGGCAGAGAGAGAAGCCATTCAAAGCCACACCAGTCTCCTACCAGTTGTAGCTCTCTCTACTTGGATGGATATATATATATATATACATACTTTATTCATCCAACACTGGGAAATTGTTTTGTCACAGCAGCATTATGACAGTAGATGTAGAAGAATTACAATAAAAGAAACATCAACAATATCCATACATGTTCTCAGTAGAAAATACATATATTCAGAGGAGTATATACACACTATAAAATATACAGAACAAATTAAAATACTCCAATATATCAAGCTACTAAATATATAGTAGTGTAAATTGTGTTTATCTTCTCTGTTACTATCATCCTGGGCGCAAGTGTGAAGTTCAACGGTGGTGTTCCTTCTAGGCTAATTTAAGCAGTGTCAAATGACAATGGCCTATAGCACTATTAGCTAATAGTGGTGACTAGCCCAGCTCGACCAACAGGTCTCTCCGCCCCCTCAAAACAGCCAACCCTGGGGAACAATGCCGTCTGTAACTCAGTGGACTGGGTGTTTCTGTTACAGCAACTCAGACAGTCATACATTGTTGTCTTTAGTCGCAAACGTCAGCCTAACTTTCCTTAAATCATATCAACAATTTAAACGTATAGACCTAATGGTTTTGAATCTGGAATTTCAGTTTTGGGATCAATTAGCTTATGAAAATCAGCTGTGCCATATGTTATGTTAGACAGCGGCTTCAGTTCAATGTCCCCTTTTGAATCAATAATTAGATATAAAACTGTTGATTGGATGCCCAAGATTGAGGATGTGGATGGCGATCTGGGCCAAAAGAGTACAGGGCCACACTTTGTTGCTGTTTCTAATACTTCTATCACTCCGAATATTTATCCCTTTGTCACTTTGTATCCTCTCTCTCTCTCCAGGTGGCCATGGGGACGCGGAAGAGACGCGGTCGGTACTGTCCTCTAGATCTGTTCTCAGGGTGAGGTGGCCACACCAACACTACTGCACTTACAATATGATCAGTAATACTGTCATAAACTGTATTTAACAATAACCCACCATCAGTGTTTTGCAGCTGAACTTGATTTTCTCTGGTTTCTCTCATTTCGTTCAGGAACAGACAGAGAATGCACTTTGCCATCAGACAACTGATAGACGAACCTCAGAACAACTTGAAAATCTTCAAGGTGAGACACAACCACAACAATTTAATAAATAAATAATAGTGATTGTAATAGGTCCCACCATTCGGTATCACACTTCATTAAGCAGGGGCTCCTGAGTGGAACATCATTGGGGCTGCATTAGTCAGAGCTCTTTTTCCGGCACTGTTTCTAGTATACACATATTTACAGAAATGTAAACTCCTTCCTGTGGCCAGCTTCAGGAGTAAACTGGTGTGGCCTTTTTCAAGATGCTGAAAATGTAACCACTAAGATAATCTGTCTTGTCTTTAAAGCAAAGCTGTGACAAATATTCTGAGGTGTGTGTGTGTTTGTCAGGGGGGTCGGTGTATATTCAGCAGTATGGACGGCATTGAAGATTCGATGGACCTGAACTCTCTGCTGCATCATCTCAGACCGTACTTCCAGTACGGAAACAACCGAATCAACAGTCACATGACCAGCAAAGCTCTCCTGACCGACTTCATCCAGGTATCACCAACACACAAATATATTCTGCTCATTTTCAGGTTCATATTTGTATTTTTTGTCTCTACTGGGACATGTCTCAATGCTTTAATGTTCAAAAAGACCCTTATTTTTCTCATACTTCCTGTGGTGCAGCACCTCTTTTCATCCTCTGTCTGAAACCAGAGCCCAGTCTGCTTTGCTCGGTTAGCTGGCCGGCTCTGTTTTGATGGTCAACCGCTTAGAGATGTCCCGCCACTTGGCTTCCGCTTAAAATAAGAACCTTTCACCAAAGTATAGATGTTAGAAGTGGACTTCCTTTGTCCAGTCTTATTTATTTTTTAAAATACTGTTTCGGGCAACCACTGCCTTTATCAAGTGAAAATGTTGGAAGGGGGAGACGGAGGGAATGATGATTCAGAAATGGTCCAAGGGTGGAATCGATCCCAGGTCCTTTGCATGGGGGCCGAGCCCCAGTACATGGGCCCCCAGCTCTAGAGACTGACCTGTACGACTGCCCTAACAGTCTTTGACTGAGTGAAGTCTCTACCGTCAGACACTCACAGGGCTCTCTCTCTCTTCCTTCAGGTCGTGGTGAACGCCCTGCTGAGTGCTGGAGGAGGAGATGGAGGCATGGGGACGGACAGACGAGGAGAAGGACGGAGCTTCTGTGAAGCGAGTCTGTTCAACAAGGAGAGGAGTCCCCACGGTGAGAACCTGCTGCTGGTTTCTGTCTTTAAACAGTTTGGACTGCGATCGGCTACAGCTCAAAGGGTCTGTAGGCTGAATACATGTCATCTACTAGCACACAATGTGCACTGTTGGATCAAACATTATCAGCACTCATTTATTTATTATCCTTATTAGAGCTGCAGAAAATTATTGGACTGTTTTGAAATATTATTAAACGCTAAAAGTAATTTAGTATTTTCTGGTTCCAACTTTTACTTCTTTGCCTCGTAAACTGACTATTTCTTATGCTTTCTTGCGGTTAAAAATGATTTGACTGAAAATACGTGACCTTGCACCATTCACCATTTTCTTTATTGACGAATCAATTCATTTAGAAAAGAATCTGCCTCTGTTTTTTTACGTTTTTATAAAATGTTCCCGCTTCCCTTTTTTTCTCTTCACTAGAAACAGATTGAAACACACCCTGACATAAATCAACAAGCGAACATTTAATATAACAATTGAAAAATAAAGAGTTTATGAGCAAGCTTTGCACGATGTATATCTGTTGTTTCTGGTGTACATTGTAGCTGTAACTCTGTTGTCCAGTCCAACAGATTTGGGCCTCTCCTCTCTTACAAAGGTTTTTCTTGTGCAGCAGCCTCCCTCTGAAGTGTTTTAGCTATGAAAGAAGCACTTGTTCCTTTTTGAAAAAACAAACATTTTGCCCATAACATCTGAATCTAATAAATCTGACCTGAAGAAGTGGATGAGAGCTAAAAGATGACCTCTCTCTGTCCGTGTTGTTCTCAGGCTCTCAGGGTTCACCCAGCGACAGTGTTTTGTACAGAGTTCGTCAGACGCAGATGTTGGACACTTTGGACATCGAAGGTCTTTACCCTCTGTACCGCCGCGTGGAGCAGCACCTGCAGGACTTCCCCAAGGAGAGGTAATGCACAGTTAATACATATCAGAAGAAAGCCATAGTTACAGTGTCTATTCAGATACCTGTCTGGTCTCTTGCCTCACCTTCTTCCTGTCTCTGCTCAGAACTCGTCTTCAGATGGACGGGCCATACAACGAGGCCTTCCTGGAGAAGCTGCATAAATGTCCCAGTGAGGACGACGGCTCTCTGGAGTACGCCGTCTCCAAGGTGAGGCGGAGAGCTGAACCTTGATCAGGTTCTCAGTGAAAGTCCAGCTTTCCATGTGGAGCTCAGCTGGAGCATTAGTCACCTGTTTGATCAATAGTACATAAAATTTTTTGAAATAGAAAAATAATTCAAACTTACACGTTTCGTGCAACAAATGTAAGTGTTTTTATGCTTCCCGCTTATTTTTCCAAAAGGTGCACGCATATGTATGAGGGTGGTGACAATTACAAACGACTTCTTCACTACGTTAAACCAATGTACTACATGTGTAAGGGTTTTATCTTTGTCTTATTACCTTGACCAGACGCTTCAGTGTTGCAAGAATGTTGTCATCATGCAAGCGTGATTCTGATGTGACCTTTGTATTTTCAGCAGAGGGAGAATGTCCCTGAAAAGAAACCCTTTCGCTCAGTGATGATATTGCAGTTCCAAGTCAGAAACTGAGGGAAAACACTGTTTATTAAAGAGTGAGACCTTTCTCACTAATAGCATCACCAATTAAGGTCATGCAGAGACAGTTGAAGCATTCTGCTGCCTCATTAACGGCAACTTGTAATTCAGTTGTTATTTTCTGTGAATCTGTTTCTGGATGGGGAAGCTTTCCTGCTGAACACGCACAGGTCTAAAAAGAGTGTGTGTTTACCTGCCCTGTGTTTTCACTTCAGGTTCATCAGTACCGAGTTGCCATGACAGCCAAGGACAGCCAAATCATGGTTGCCCTGGTGCCCAGCTGTGAGGAAGAAGAGGACGATGAAGGGTAAGGGTTGAGCTATGTTGATCACTTCGAGTGTCATTAACTGTCAGGGGACTCGTGAGAACTAGACAGATGTTCACAGATAACCTCAGCTGACCTAAAGTTGCCCTCTGAATGTAAACAGATTTTCTCACCAAAGTATGATTTACATCATGTCGGCTGCTGTCCTCTTCTGCCACAGGGATTGAAGAAGTATTCAATATACAAAATGCATGAATACACTTTTACAAATAAAAGTCCTTGGTAAATACAGAAGTATTAGAATCAAACTATACTGATCGTACAAAGTAAAACACTAGCCTTTTTCAAAATACTACTACTTATTAGTAGTATTGATAAGAGATGAATCAGTGTAATGATGCCGCTGATACAAGGGGGCAATTTGAACAAACCTTTATACTTCTGGGTTTCCTAATCTATCATTTGATTTTGACTGACTAAATTACTTAACTCATGTTGTTACGTAAAAGTTTAAAAACATATAGAATAAATTACAATTTTGACAATTATTGACGTGTATCTTTAATATGAGTGCTGCACTAAATGGCTTTACCAGTTGGGATGGACACACTATTATATTTTATAATGATAAAACAATAACTGATAATTGTCAACTAACAAAGTTTTAAATGGAGATTTACCATCTTCAAACTGGTCCCTGAAGGCTACTGACATTTATATCATTTTATACAATTTGAAAATGTATTCTTAAAGGTGGGGTAGGTAAGTTTAAGAAACCGGCTCGAGATACACTTTTTGTTATATTCCATGGAATGCTCTTAACATCCCGATAGCAATGAATATCTGGAGTGCTTTGACAAAATATCCATTCAAAAATGTCATCTGTGGAAGCTGTAGTACTGTAAAAAGCACGACCAATCATCTGAGCCGGCTCGGCTAAAATAACTGGATGGCCTACCTGCCTGTCAGCCTTCCATCTGTGCACAAACTTATCTCATGCCCTCATTGGTCATGTGCGCGTTCGTGTGTGTTTGAGGAGGGGCTCTGTAAGGAAGTGGCAGATTTTTTCCGGTTGTGTATTTTCAAATTCTAGCGCACTCGAGCTGGTTTCTCAAACTTACCTACCCAACCTTTAATGAAAAAGTGTAATGCATTTTTTTTTAAAGCATATAGTATACTGTTTTATATAATTGTAAACTGAATGTGTTTGGGTCTTTTTTAACACCATAAAGAAAAATGCATGGATAGTGAGAATGATTGTTGTTTCTAGCCTTCATGTAGTATCTACTACAGGGCGATTTGAACGGTGAGATTGTACTGTTTTTCTGAATCTGTGTGTAGTACCTCATGGAGTCCAGCAGGGCACGCCAGACCTCAGCTCAGCATATTTCAACTGAAACATAACTTCCTGTGTTTTCCTCCAGTCTCCCCGGTCAGCGGCAGCACAGGGACTTCCTCTCCTCCAGACCTCCCGCCTTCTCTTACTCCGTCTCCATCTTGGATCTGGACCCCAAGCCGTTCGACAACATCCCCCGCCAGCTGCGCCTGGACCAGAATATCGTCTCCTGCTACCTGAGGAGTAGCTGTGCCTTGCCAAAGGGCGCTCTGCCCTCGCACTCTGGCATCTTCACTGGTGCAGAGAGGGAGGACTGCACGCTACTCTTCCACCCCGTGTGAACGCCCGATAAAAGACAGACGACCCTGAAGACTAACTGACACTGCTGCTTCACACGGAGACGCCATGTTGATGCAGAGGTCTGAAATCACTTTAGACCACAGCTGTTAATCTGGAAAACTTTACTTCAACACTTTCTGTTTACTCAGCTCATGTTAAGCAACGTCGTAATCTCCAGGAAGTCACCACACAGTTTAAGCGACTTCCGGATATTTCTGTTACTGATTCTAGAATTTTTTTCCAGAAACTTCTGGATCCTGTCAGGAGGGGAATCTGAGATGTCTCTGTTCTGTCATGATTCATATTTATTAGAAAACTTACAGGGGGCTTCGTTTATTCCCTCTTTGGTGACAAAGGGTTCGGATCAGCCTCCTGACAGAGCTTTTACAGTTGTCATGAGAACAACATGATAGTTTACGTTCCCCATGGCAACACTGAGAGAGAGAGAGAGAAAGAAGAGGAGAGTTAAAGCGATGGAGAGCAAATCAGGTAGTTGACGTACGTATGATGTCATTTCCTGAATGTAGGCGGGGCCTCTGGTAGAGGCAGAGCCAATATGAATGTCCAGGTTGAACTGTAGCATCACAAAGTGCTGCAGGGATGACGTATTTTTTTAGGCCAACCCAGAAGTTAACAATTGCATGGTTCCCTCGTCAAAAGGCCAATAGGATGTTTCCATTGGCTTTTATATTATTGCACAAAATAAGCTATGTGGTTAAAAATGTTAAGTTCAGCAGGATAACCTTCACAAATGTGCACCAATCTATGAATTCTTCAAGAAAAATGCAATCGGTAGACATTTGCATATTTTAACAAAAGCCTTAACCTTTTGTGTGATATATCTACAAGCACAAACACCATCTCTAGTCCCATTAAGCCACTTTTTAGCAACCGCCCTTTTTTTTTTTTTTTTAATAGGACGGGTAAAATCGCCGATATTCACCAGTGAAGTATTAATTTACACATCCAATGTTGATGAACAAAAAGTGTAAAACTCTTATTAACCACAGACCTTATTTTGGGCATCAGACCTAAACATATTCATCAAATCCATTGACTTTAAGATGAGGGAACCAGCAACTCACTTCCTGGTTTTCAGATTCATTACTGTTGCTCCATGGTAACAGAAGCACTGGTTACCATGGCTACAGCCACAGAGGAAGCGGCTGAGAGGTTTCAGTCCTGCGCTGGACTCCATAAAAGTTTTCAGTCCAACTCCTCTCTCCGACCCCCTTTTTATTGGAGAGGTGATGCATTAACTGGCTGTATTGAAAACCTTCATGAAGCCGGTGGGAGGAGGAACGTCGCCTCACCTCCATGTTTGTTGTTTTCCTTTGACTCCTTTTGTTGGCGGCTAGCTAATATGTTCTTTAATCACGCATTTGTGCCACAATGTTTTGGGAGTTGTGTCATTAAAGGGTCAGTTCACTCAAATGTAATCACAACTTGGGTGAGATCAGTTTTAGTTGTATTGTCCAGGAGATTTCCCCCTTTACTGCAAAAGAATGAAGATTATGATTCTCCCAGCTTTTTATGAATCACTTAATCAGTGTCATTGATAATCTTAGGGATGATACTGGAGATAGTTTTTACACACTAACATGATTAATCCGAAGGAAAATAGTTTGAATAAAACTAGAACACAGTTTCGTTTTGCGGTGAAGGCCGAAATCTTAAATGTGAACCTGGACAAATAAAAGACACTCTGCATGGAGAGAAGAGAGAAAACACTCTTTACAAGGTACGCCTCTACGATATACAGCTATATCAGCCCTGTTATACTTTTATGAAACCTAATGGTTATTCTTTGAGGTTAAACTGCTGTATTCTTCATGAGAGCTGCAATGATAAGTGATTGATACATTCGTTGGTAAATTCGTTTTTTACATCCAAAATGCAGTAAGAGCCGATCATATGTGGAGATTTTCTGGTTTATATTTAAATGAATATATTTCAAACTTTTCCCTGAAAAACATGGCATTTAAAGATATCACCTTCACATTTTAAGAAATTTGGATATTTCTCACCATTTTCTCACCTTTTTATAGAGACCAAATGTGGCAGATTAATAGATAATGGTAACAATCATTAGCTGTAGTCTTTTATTTGAGTGTACATATTGAATTCATTTGGGTAAACTGACCTCTGACCGCCCAGCTCTTGTACTGTTCGTGTCCAGCTGCCGTTTTGATCCGCTTTGACCTTAAACCTCTTTTTGTGTTTGGGAAAAAGCACATTATTTTTTAACTCTTTGTTGGAAAAAAAACCAGCAAATAAGTAATTTGTCTAACACTCCTGTGTTTAGTTACCTGGTTATGGTACGGTTGCATTACACTTCTGTGCTGCGGATATTTCCATCATTTCTTATTCACAATTTGAGCAGAAATTATAACTACAAATTCATCCACAAATGTGCTATTTGGGTGCAGACTCACGGGTCAGAATTCACCTTTTGACCTGTGCACTGACAGTGGGCCAATCAGAAACACGGATGTAATGTGACCGTACGCTTGCGGAGCAGGAAGTGGAGCAGAGGATGGTAAAGCCGCTGGCTAACAGTTTCCTTCACGCTGCTGCTCTGCTGGTTTTTGTGCCATAAGTGGCTTGTTGTGCGTTCGTCCATGTGCCTAAATGTTCTGGTAGGACTGGAGTGGAGTGGGGAATGGTGGTGTGTGTGTGTGACTTTGTTACAGGATGTGTCCACACACAGCGAAACAAATCTGTGTTAGTTTGTTCACACTGACATCAGATCAGTTCTGCTGTCAGCCGTGGACTCTCAGTATCTCAAACTCCTGACGAACTGAAACCAAGCTCAACAGGGTCGTCTGATGTTTGCAAAATGATGCGTTTAGGGGCGCTGGGAGGTTTCTGAGAGCGTGTTGATGACTTCACGGGGAGATGAAACTTAAGTGCTGATGTTTGTGTTCAGATTATCTCGGGTCTTTTGTCTCCTGGTGATGTCAGCGCCCTCTCCAACCAGCAGTGCTCAGGGAGGCTTGAAAATAAACTGGTAACACTTGACTTCAGTTCCTAGTTACAGGGTCCAACCTCCAACGCCTCCATCAGCCAATCACACATCACACTACAAGACTGAAACTTCAGATGGAAGAAAAATACTCCTTTTAACATCACTGTGACATGGAGCAGAAATTCAGTTTAATCCAGACACTAAAAGGGTTTAAAACAGATGTCATTCAGAGTTGCCTTCAACATTTATTTTTCTAGCGGCTTTGATTTTTAACCAATCACATAACCCCTTATTATTTGACTCCTCCGATGGTTGTCGGAGAAGTTAAAGTTGGAGAGTGGACCGCAGTGAACTGAACCAACCACTGATCGTTCCAACTGTTGAACGTAAGACGCAACAGGGTCGCAGGACGGGAACGCAGAGGCTCATGGGAGTTAAGAGTGAGGAGGGCGGGATGTTTCTCGAAATGAAACTTGATGCTATTTTAATTGGATTCATTTTGAAACTTCAAAACCGTATAACAAACTTTATGCCATAGCATCTGATCACAACAGATAATTGTTATGATCTTGTCAGTGTGATTGTGAGAAAAAGGAGCCACAGTTTGTCTCTTACCAGCCAACGACTAGCGTGTCCCCGTTATCAGATTGCCAGCCATTTTCATAATCGATGAATGCAAAAACATCTAACTCAAATATAGAGTTCCTATTTTATATCATATTAAACTGATATATTATTGCTTTGTGAAAAGAGAAGGCTTTGAGAAACGGGGACAGAATAGTTGTTTAAATCTTCTGACGTTGACCAAACAATCTAGAAAAATAATTAGCAAATATGACTGACAGGTTGGGTAGGTCAGAATTATTTAGTTTGATATATCAGAACTTTGAGATAAAAGGTTTTTAATTTGTGAACTGTAATTATAATTTCAGTTTCCGTAGCATAAATATAGACTTATCAATTTCAGCTACCATATTAGTGTGCTTCAGAACCCTCAACTATGCTTCAAATCTCTGTTATTTTGGGTTTCTTCTGTCAGGAACAACAACACCAAGATACCAAACAGACACAAACTGGGGCTCGAGAGCGTAGAGCTGCTATATTGCAGAATATTTTCCTTCTTAGATTACGGAAGAGTTTTTGATGCAGGTGAGCCGCCGTGTGATTGGCCGGCTGCCTCCGCCTGCTGCCTGAGCGTCACCTGCAGACTCATCACCGCACTGTGATACTTACAGACTTCTAATAACTGCGTGTGTGTAAATAGCTGAGAGAAGAAAAACTATTTGAAAATACAAAGGCACCACGGCTGTCTTGCATTTTGTATTTAAATTATTTATTTTTGTAGATTTTGACCAATGAGCTTGCTGTTACAACTGTCACAGTCGAGCTCTTTCTATTGAATAAAGATTTCTAAGGGACTAAAACATTGCTGAGTGTGCGTTTACTTATTTGTATTTACATATAAAGGTTCTTGTAGGTATAACAGAAGAAAGATGTCATGAGTTGTGTGGTGAAGGTGTGAGTTATGTGTCCGGTGAAAGGCTGACCGCCATGATGACAGCCTCTATGGCGGCTTCAGATCCCAGAACCCTCAGCAGGCTCTGGAAGGCCTCCGCAGCGCCCCCTACCGCCTGAGAGGGAAACAGCTTCAGGGCTGAAGAGACGCAGGGGGAGAAAAATGATGTCATAAAAAGTCAGTTTGCATTTAATGATTTGCCAACACATTCAAAAGTAGTTTTGCAATTTTGAAGTCACAATTCTTGAAAAAATTATAATAAAGACGAGAAATAGAATGGTCATTTTGTAAACAAAGCAATTACATTCAAATAATTGCTAGAGTGGCTTTATTGATTCGTCAAATGATTTAAAAAAAATAATATGTTGCAAAGTGATATTTAATTAAACAGTGTTTTTTTTTATGATTTTGAGTTGAAAAGTGTTACAGCTGTTTCAAGACACTCTTTACATGCCCATCCAACCTACTGATGTTTTTTTATTTATCTGTTACACTCAGAGAAAATTGCTGGTAGTTTCAAAGGTTTATTTACAGACTTTGGTTTTAGCTGCCTGCAAACACTGCTCAGGCTGAAAAAACCACATCCTCTACATGTTTTTTGTTCTACTTACAGAACTCAAATGAACTATATTGTTACCAACACGTTTCATTAAATACACAACTGAGCATCAGTAATAAATAAAGCATTAACGGACGGTTTTGTTTTATACAATTCATAAATTGTCTAATAGATTATCTGGTCTTTTGCGACATTGACTATGACTGACTTCACTGTTTGTCTCAATTTGAAGAGAAACCCTAAATCACAGTAAACCGCCTGATATGGTTTCGGTTGAGCTTTGTGTCTGTACTGTAGTCGACAGACAGACAGGTCTCACCTTTCTCAGGGATCTTTGTCAGCAGCTCCATCTTTGGAGTGACTCCTCCCTCGCTACAGACCTCCACTGACCAATGCAGGATCAAGACACAGCTGCAACAGAAACACACAGGGATAGGTCACATGCCTGTGTTACTCTGCTCCATCAGTACGAGTGTGTGTTCACTACAGACTGGCCGTTTCTCAATGTTGAGTATACCTGCTGCAGAGCCAATATTTCAAGTATACTACGTCATCGAGTGGCGCCGAATGCTGGGCATTTAACATGCATTTAAACAGTCCTTCGGCGCCACTCGATGACGTAGTATACTTTAAATAGTGGCTCTGCAGCAGGTTTACTCAACATTGAGAAACGGCCCCTGTATAAATATATAAAGGTATTTACCCAGGAAGCTCGGGGTGATTCAGGGTCATGACCTCTGAGCCGCTGCCTGCAGGAAGAGAGACGACAGAGGGATACTTCTCCTGCAGACACAAACAGACAGAGATTTAACAATCAAGTTATTATTCATTGTTGTAATTGTCTAGAACATGGAGACACCTGTCCTGTCTGTGGTACTCATCAACAGCATTATGATATGACATCACTATGTTGCACTCAATCAAAACATTGTAGGTGATAAACTATGGGGTGGGACATCTCTTAGTGGTTAACCAATCACAATAAAACCGGCCAAAGAGGTGCTGCAGAACAGGCAGTATAAGGAAATAAAGACCTTTTTGAACACTAAAGCATGGAAATGTCATGAAAACCTGAAATTGAGCAGAATACAGGGTTCCTTTAAACAGTCAGAGAATTGTTGATTCACTGCTTATTTCAGCATACATGAAAAGTCATTTATCTTTTTATTAAAAAATATATTTAACTTCTGTTAGACTATTTCATGTGACACTTTTTACGCTGCTATGGACAATCTCGCACAAATGCACATTCTATGGAGAGTCTTGCACTAATGTACATTTCTCAAAATATTGAAGTAACTGTTATTTGATTTTATTGATTGTTGTGTTTTTATTTAGGTCTTAATGTGTGCACATGTAAAAATGTGTCTTTGACTGTGTATATATATATATATATAGATATATATACATATTCGCGCACATATTTTGATATACTTTTGTTTTTATATTAGAGATTGTGGGAAACGGTATTTCGATCTCTCTGTCTGTACACACAAACTACAAGATTGACAATAAAGTTGACTTTGACTTTGATTATAGCTCCTTCAAACATTTTCAAAGTTGTCTCAGTTGGCCTGCAGGGGGCGCAACAACATCTGTATAGTAACCTGAACACTGGGCCTCATCTGACAGGCGAGAGGAAACAGGACTAAATGCTTTGAGTGTGAGGTCGACTTTGCAGCTGAAATGTTGATACATCGAAGTTGTCTCAGTTCCAGTGAAAACTTCTTAAACATTTGTAAAGTTTTGATGGAACCGAGATATCAAATATATAGACTTTAGAAACATCCTGGTGTTTCTTTAGTGACATCTGATAATGAACTGTTTTCTTTAACAGCCTCTCCCCTCTCTTGAACACACAATCAATCAATCAATCAATGTTTATTTATATAACCCAATATCACAAATGTTACATTTGTCTCAGTGGTCTTCACAGTGTGTACAGAATATCAGTATGACAATACAACACCCTCTGTCCTTTGACCCTCACATCGTACAAGGAGAAACTTCCAGAGAAAACCCCACAGTTTAAAGGGGAACATGGGAGAAACCTCAGGGAGAGCAACAGAGGAGGGATCCCTCTCCCAGGACGGACAGACGGTGCAATAGGAGCCGTTTAACATAAAGCTGTTTCCATAGATTTGGTTAGGGGTCTTGTGTCCAGGTGTCTCTACCAAGGTATGTACATGTGTGTGCTTGTCTAACTATTGAGTCTTTATAAAACTTAATCTGTCTTAACACACCCCCTTACTCTTTCAGCACATTGTATGTTTTTTGGGCATGAACAAAAGCTATAAAGCTTCCTGGACCTAAGTCTTCGCGCAGCTCCAGCTCAGAAAGCCGGACAGAATCACCTGACCTCATCTCCGCTTGCTCGCCTTGCAGGTCTCTCTCCATAATGTTTTTTCTGACTATCTACAGGATGGATAATGTTGGTGTTAAAGCTGTGAAAGTGAATACATGATTGAAGGATTCCTATGGTGCTTAGTAAGTAGAGCTTCCTGTCGTCTTACCTGTCTCCTATTCACTCATTCTGGTTCCTTCTCCAACTTGAGGGTAACTGCTTCCTTTCCTTTTTGGAAAAGTCTTCAGTTCCATCGTGGAACAGACGTTGTTCATGTAACATGGGTTAACAATTACTGAAATTGATTTGTTCTTTTATTTCTTGTGACAGCCAATGTTGTCGCGATTTATATTGGTTGGAATTTTTTTACAATAAACACCAGCTTGAGTCTGGAAATAACATGTTTAGTTTCCGCTCTTAAACTAATTCAGAAGTCTTTCTGCCTTATTCCCTCATTTTAAATAAATTTTCACCTTATTTTTTTGTTGTGTTAGGCTTTTCCTCGACGTGTGTGTTG